TGTCATTCGCATTTTTGTTATTGCCATCGATGGGTGTTGATGTAACTCGGGGGTGATCAGTGTATGAAGAAGATCGTCTCAGCGGTTGGTTAGTTATTCGCATAAAACATGTAGAAAATGACGATTTTATGAAAATTCAATGATTCCATCCAAAGAAATCTTATCATTCTCATTTTTTTTATTTCAATCGATGCGTGTTCATGTAATTTAGGAGTGATCAGTGTATGAAGGCGACCGTGTCAGTGGTTTATTGGTTATTCGCATGAAATATGTATGAAAATGACAAAAATCAAAGATTTTATGCCGAGAAATGATGTGATTATTATGTTTTTTTCAATCTATGAGTGTTAAAAAAAACTTCGAACCGATGAGTATATGAGGACGATTGCCTCAGCAGTTTCTTAGTTATTTGCATAAAACATGTGAAGGAATGACAATCGCTTCAAAATTCACTGCATTCACCTAGAAAAATTACTTCATTCGCATTTTACCTAAGGTAACGATGGGATTGGAATTAATTTTGTGTAATCGATGCGTCTCCACATAACTTGATTCTCATTGGATTTTGAGCAAAATCGCCTCAGTGGTTGTTGAGTTTTATAAATAAAACTTTCGAATTTTGCAATTAAAAAAAAAGGGAAAGTTGGAAAATTTTAGAGTGGGTTAACTTTGAAGTTACATAATTTCGAAGTCGGTCAACTTTGAAGTTGGAAACATTTGAAGTGGGTCGACTTTGAAGTTGCAAATTTTCAAGTGGATCAGCTTCGGAGTTGAGAGATTTTTGAAGCGGGTCAAATAAGAAGTGGGTTTAGCGCAAACTTGATTGAAGTTTGAGTTAAATTTAACTGCAAATGCGTTCTTTGCGAAATCACCCTAAGGGTAATGCCACAATGGATGCAACGCTGAGGGCTTGCAACGCATGAAATAATTATCCAACTGTTTTCCGAATATTTCTGACAATGACTAGCGTTGCGTATAGTGTGCGCCGCATTCACTGTAGCATGACGCCAGCGTCAACGAAAACGAATGGTCGGGAAGTTATTGGTTCGACCGGTAATGGGTCATACCCAATTCCACCAACCCCTACCGGTCATACCCCAAAGAGGCAGCGCGCGAAGCGCTTAATTTTAATCGATATCTTATCTTTCATCCCGGGCATAACCCGACTATTTTCTAGATAAAAACTTCGCACCTTTTGAACAGTTGCGGCTGGTAATGGATGACCAATCCTTGCAGTTGGTGAAACAAATACTCCCTTCAATTCTCTCAACTTTTTTGCCTTCTACGCCATGTATCTCGAAACACCAAATTCGAGTGCTCTTTTTCGGGCACTCCATGATCGAGGAAGAATGGTTAGAATTTGCAGGCGCTCATCGTACGAGTCCAAATCGTTGAACTTTTCCTTCAAATCATTCAACATTTCCTCTAATTCCAGTTCTCTGGGAGAACGATACCGTTTCGTTGGTGGTGGATCATCGTCACTGTGATCACTATTTGAATCCTCATCTATACTTAAATCGAAGAATCCACCTGAATCATGTGATCCATCGTGAATTGAAACGTTTGTATCATCAAGATGAAAAGATCGGCCTGATCTCAATGAATAGTCAATGATATGCGAGGTGGAATCATCAAATTCTGTTTCAGTCATTGATACCTCTGGGGAAAAGATATCTTCTTGAAGATTTTGATGCTTCAGAATGCAAGTGGGAGGAAACGATGGTACGACATACGTTGGAACTTTTATTCGGCATTTGCCGCAAATTTTTGCAGTCGATGATAGGAAGGGGAACTTTACGTGTATTTCCCGTGAAATCGGACGTAAATTGGTTCCATAGTGGCCTTTTTCACCTGGGCCGCGCATCGGATGTGCACATCTATCACTACGGGGCATCCTACTGAATACATACAAATTGATTCCACAAATCGCCTGGACATATCTCTATCATGAATGTCAGAAATTTCTTACCGCAATTCAGAAATGAAGATGAGAAAACGGAGATGAGTATACACAATGATGGCTTATTAATTTAGCTTAATGATCAAATTTTACTGATCAATGATGCATTTAATTAATACAGTCAACAATAAGCACAATTATTTTTATTTTGTATCTATTGTTTCGTGTAATGAAACGTTGATGAAGTATTTGAGACATGTCAACTAATAGCATACAGTCTGATAACGTTAAATGGATCGATAGATTCATTTTTTTATCCTTCTTTTGTTTCAAGTCTGAGTGATACAATCTTCTCATGCCACTGATTAGAATTTGAGCTTAATTTCTCTAACGCGTGAATTCATTGACTGATCCACTGTGGACTGCATTATGATTAGAATTAGAATTAGATTTCCTCACTCTGATGTTACTTTATTTTTATTTTGTATATTGTTTCGTGTCGCTGATATATTGCCATTGGAAGAATCATTTTCAATCAATTTTTTTTACTTGATAGTGCTGAAAAGATCATTTCTGATATTGCCCATTGCGTGACCCTTCGAACAATTGAAAAAAATTATTCCAGAGTGATTGTTATTGTTGAATATTGTAAAACTATTGAAAAAATGCAAAAATTTCAGTAAAAAAAATTTTCTCTTCTACATATGACATGGTGAGGTTTGTTATGTAGTATCAAAACATGAGGGAGTCATAAACATAACCTTAAATTCTGTGAGTAAAATATGCAGACCGATAAGCTATCAGAAGCCGGAGTAGCTGCTTGCGCCATGTGTATGTGCAACGCTCACGGCTTATATACATTTAGTTTTTGAGCTATTTTTATTTTTGTTTTCTTTCATCATGACAGATCGGAGAAAAAATTCATATGGGAGGATTTTTATCACTGAATTCAATTAATACGCGCAAAACCTGCTTGAAAAGTGTTTTTTTCACACACCTGCATGGAAAGTTCGTAATTTGCTCCCTGATGAGCGGGAGGAAAGTGAGTACTTCCCGCCTTCGGGTGGAAAGTTGCTCCCAAGGGCGGAAAGTACTGACTTTCCTCCCCTCATCAAAGAGCAAAATACGAACTTTCCTTTGCAGGCGTTTTAAAAAATAGCCTGTGCACCTTGGGCGGGAAAACATGACTTTCCACCCTTGATGCACAATATACTATTATGCCACTCATGCCTGAAACCGGCTGGATTACACACTCGACGCTTCGCGTCTCGTGTCTAATTCAGCCGGTTTCAGGCTTCGTGACATAAAATTTTGTTCAGTACTTGTTGGGAAATTTCGTCCTTAACGTTTGTGGTTACATCACTCGCCTTTGGCTCATGCTGTAAACCCCACACACATTAACGACGATATTGCCCCACACGTGCTGAAATATACTATTACATGCAAAAAAAAATATTCGTGCTTGGCCACGCCCACTTTTTCCGTTTTCTCTAAAAAATAAAACGGGTTAGGCATTTTGTCATTATGTTACCACCTTTGCGTGTTTTCTTTCGGAAGAAAAGTTCTGAGGTTGGCACCACCCCTGGGGAGCAAGGAGCCACGTAGTAGCCACCTAATTAGGTGGCTGTTAGGTGGCTAAGCGGGGCTATCTTATTTTGGTGTAAAAAAGGGTAAATGAAACCATTATGGATGTCAATCTATGAATTATTGACGAATTATAGTACCTTTAATGACATTAATTTCCATTAATTAAGGATTTGCGTATTGAAGGGGAAAATAAGTCAGTATGGGGAACGCCGCCGGATGGCGGCAGTGTCGACTTCTCGCCCAGGCCGATCAAGTCGGGAGCAGTGGCGGAGAAATATTTTTCAAAAATGGTAAAGGGATGTTCTCATATAGTCCATACACTAGGGGTACTTCTGTGTACATTGAGATGTCCATTAGATTTTATTACTGAATTCTATGTTTTCGAGGTCGCTGATTGCGAATATGATGATCATTTGTACGAAATCGTGGGCAGTCTTTTTGTTTATAACAATTTAATTGTTTAAAACGAAATATCGCGGAAACGGTTGGCTATAGGGGAAAATGTTTCAAAAAAAAATGTTCCTTATCAAAAAGTGGACATATTTTGTTTAATAACATTTTCTCATAGCTGTCATGGTTACAGAGATATCGCGGATGCAAGTCCAGCGAGCAGCGCGCTGGCACTATTGCGCGGCGGCAACGCGCTCCGGAGTCTTTTTAAGAAAAATGGTTGGGCGGAGAAAAAAATGGTTGAAACAAAAGATGTTCATTATAAAAAAATACATGAGATCAGTTTTTTGATTTTTTCAATTATTCCAAGTAATTTTTAAGATATTCAACGTTTTATGGGCGATGACGGAACAAATTCGCATTGCGTTGATCATTAAACCGTGATTATCTCGTTAACTACTAGGAATAGACTAAAATGTCTAATAACTTAAAAGATGAGGCATAAAACCAATATCTTTTGTTACAACTTTTTTTCTCTAGCTCCGTCCGTTCAAAAAATATTCCTGGCGCAAATCAGGGTCTGGGGGCCTATTCTNTTTTTGACTTTTTCAATTATTCCAAGTAATTTTCGAGATATTCAACGTTTTATGGGCGATGACGGAACAAATTCGCATTGCGTTGATCATTAAACCGTGATTATCTCGTTAACTACTAGGAATAGACTAAAATGTCTAATAACTTAAAAGATGAGGCATAAAACCAATATCTTTTGTTACAACTTTTTTTCTCTAGCTCCGTCCGTTCAAAAAATATTCCTGGCGCAAATCAGGGTCTGGGGGCCTATTCTCGAGTCGGGTGAGTTAGTTTCCACCGGTGGAACTAGCGCCGTTCACATTAGTCGTGTGGAAATCGGAAAATTCACACATGACGTCAGATCCACCGGTGAAGTGGGCCGACGGACGGATCTGTCGTTGCGTTCACCCATCGACTCCACCGGCGGATTTGAATTCACATTCACCCATCGTTTTGTGTGATTCACCCGTGAAGAGTTTCGTATGAGGAGTGTCATTTAACCTCTTCTGAGGAATAAAGCATTTATTTATTTATTTGGTAACAACAAATAATGGATAATTTAAGGCGGTATTTATATTATGATGTTTTTCGGAATTTTGAGCCGGGTGGAGACGACGATCACCGTCCTCGACTTTTTCACGATGCTGTGGACCCCTTTGAAGAGCTCTCAAATGATAATTTTATCAAAGTTTATCGATTGACTAAAGAGAGAGTATCTCAAATAATTGACATTGTGGCTCATTATGAACCTGCTCCAAGTAGGCGGTCAGCATTGGACGTACGTACTAAAGTAAGTAGTCGAATCATAATCGATAACGTAAAATCTTTCTTTTTAAGAATTATTTATACCTTTGAGAGAGATAGCAAAATTTGCATAAGAAGCTTTTTTGTAGAGCGAAGTCACATACACATAGAAGATTTTGATTAAAATTTCAATACGTCAATTGGATTCAGAGATATCTTTGAAAAACCCAGCTAGAAGAAGGGTTGATTGGTTATGGAGCTGTTTTTGGAGTTCTAAAAAATATCTCTGAATGTAACAGTGATATTGAAATGTTGATAAGGACCTTTTTTGTGGAGTGAAAAGAGATCTACAAATAAAGTCCTTACTTAATTTTTGTATCTCTGTTAGATGCCGTGGTGTTGCTCAAAAACCGAGCTGGATAGAGTGACTTGAGACGGATTATCACTTTACTGCTGAATTTACTTTTTTTTTTTATTACTAATAACTCATTGATTTGGTATTCTTAGGTGCTCACAGCATTAAGATTTTTTGCAACTGGAAGTTACCAATTAGATGTTGGATTGGGTCGATATTCAGCTGTTAGTCAGCCCTCAGTGAGTAGATCCATTCATACAGTCATCGACGTTTTCAATCGAAATGAAATATTTGCGGAATATGTCAGATTCTACAGAAATATTGAAGAAGTTCGGGCATCTCGTGATAGGTGAATACCAGTCTCATTTAATATTGTGGTTGCTGTTGTTTTTCTATACTCCATGATTTGATTACTTGTAGGTTCTGGCGTCGATTCCAGTTTCCCAATGCAATCGGTTGCATTGATGGGACCCACGTGGCAATTGTCCCTCCCAAAATTAATGACCCAGTTCATCCTGAGAATGTGTACGTAAACCGCAAAGGGTATCACTCATTGAACGTGCAATTGGTAAGTCAAGTGATAGGCAAAAAAAGTTTATGAAACAGACTTGGAGTTTATGGTTCTCTAACGATTGCATTATCCCTCGCACGATAGATATGTGATGCTGAATTCAAAATTCTCAACGTCAATGCCAGATATCCCGGGAGTGCCAACGATTGTGCTATTTGGAATGACAGCAATATTCAACCGTTGATGCGAAGATTGCATAATTATCGCAATGAACGATTCTACTTGCTCGGTAACATCTGCTGTATTTGCATTCTCTCTTACACTTGAGATATTTAATTTAACGAATTTAATGGTTGAATAATTTGTAGGAGATGCAGGGTACCCCTTACGTCCATGGCTCATGACACCATTCAGGGATCCATTGGACAATTCACCTGAAGCCGCTTTCAATCGTGTCTTTTGTCGAGCAAGATCAATTATTGAACGTGTCAATGGAATTCTCAAGATGAGATGGCGTTGTCTCTTGAAACACCGGGTTCTTCATTACGACCCAACAACTGCAGCCAAAATTACCAACACTTGCGTGGTTCTCCACAATATGGCTATCATGGATGGCCTCAGATTCCCAGCAGGAGAAGACGACCCATATGTAGGCAACGAGGATTACGGCATGATGGACGATGAAGTACTTGATGAGATGAATATGCTTAGAAGACGTGTTAATCCCGAATTAGCAGCTGGTCGAAGTCTTCGAGATCGCATTGTTCGACGATGGTTTACGTGAGAATAGAAGCGAAAATTTTCAGTGTAAAAAACGTCCAAAGANGAATGTGAATTCAAATCCACCGGTGGAGTCGATGGGTGAACGCAACGACAGATCCGTCCGTCGGCCCACTTCACCGGTGGATCTGACGTCATGTGTGAACTTTCCGATTTCCACACGACTAATGTGAACGGCGCTAGTTCCACCGGTGGAAACTAACTCACCCGACTCGAGAATAGGCCCCCTGAGGGCATTGAACGTCCACCTCAACTCCACACGTCGCACAACGGCTTCGCAGTGTTATGTGGCGTTGCCACAGTTTTCTCCGAATTCGTACACAATAGCCTTATCTATGTTTTCAGTTTTGAGTTTTGTTTTCATCCTACGGAATTGAAGAACTCACCGTCAGTTTGCATTGAGACTCCTGAGGGTGAAGATCGTATTTTCAGAGAGTTTATTTTTTGGCGTGATTTTCTGGCTAGATTGCACGTTGTTTAGCGAACAAATAGCAGAGTAACGAGTTGGATGAATTTCACAGAGAGAGTTATTTGCTGAACGAATGGAGCGAGAGAAAAAAAGTTGAAACAAAAGATATTGGTAATTTCATGACTCATCTTTTGAGTTTTTAGACATTTTGGTCTATTCCTAGTAGTTAACGAGATAATCACGGTTTAATGATCAACGCAATGCGAATTTGTCCCGTCATCGCCCATAAAACGTTGAATATCTCGAAAATTACTTGGAATAATTGAAAAAGTCAAAAAACTGATCTGATATATTTTCTTGTAATGAACATCTTTTGTTTCAACCATTTTTTTCTCCGTCCAACCATTTTTTTAAAAAAAGACTCCGGAGCGCGTTGCCGCCGCGCAATAGTGGTTCGGTTTTTTTATCTGTGGAAAATAGACGCATATATCCGGAGGGATGAAAATTTAGGGGAGGTGAGGGGGAGGGGTCTGAGATTACATTTTTATGAAATTTGCACCTCCGGAAATATGCGCTGATTTTTTATAATTTTTTAAGCAATGAATTTCGGGGAAAATACAGGAGTATGCGGTTTTTCCGGGGGGTTGAAGACACCCGTATATGTCCGGAGGGATGAAAATTTAGGGAGGTGAGGGGCAGGGGTTTGAGACTACATTGTTATAAAAGTTATCCCTCCGGAAACATGCGCAGATTTTTTATAAATTAAAAAAAATGAATTTCGGGGGAAATACATGAGTATGCGGTTTCTCCGGGGGGTTGAAGACACTCTCCTACATCCGGAGGGATGAAAATTTAGGAGGGCGAGAGGGAGGGGTTTGAGACTACATTGTTAAATTGATTAAAAATCAGCGCGTTTCCGGGGGGGTAAATTTTATAAAAATTTAATCTCAGACCTCTCCCCCTCACCCCCCTCAATTTTCATTCCTCCGGATATATGCGGCTGTCTTCAACCCCCCAGAAAAACCCCAGTCTCATGTATTTTTCCCGAAATTCATTTAAAAAAAAAAAAAAAAAAATCAGTGCATGTTCCCGGAGGGGTAAATTTTATAACAAATGTAGTATCAAACCCCTCCCCCTCACTCTCCTCAATTTTCATCCTTCCGGATGTATGCGGCTGTCTTCAACCCCCCGAAGAAACCGCATGATCATGTATTTTCCCCGAAATTCATTTTTTTTAATTTATAAAAAATCTGCGCATGTTTCCGGAGGGATAACTTTTATAACAATGTAGTCTCAAACCCCTGCCCCTCACCTCCCTAAATTTTCATCCCTCCGGACATATACGGGTGTCTTCAACCCCCCGGAAAAACCGCATACTCCTGTATTTTCCCTGAAATTCATTGCTTAAAAAATTATAAAAAATCAGCGCATGTTTCCGGAGGTGCAAATTTCATAAAAATGTAATCTCAGACCCCTCCCCCTCACCTCCCCTAAATTTTCATCCCTCCGGATATATGCGTCTATTTTCCACAGATAAAAAAACCGAGCGGGTGAAAAAATTAATTTATTTATTGAATTAATTAATTTTTCAATTCGAAAATCAATGCATAAACAGATAATTGTTTAGTATACATATCCTTCTCCCCACTTTTCACAAAGTTCAAATTTGTTAGATTCGATTCTTTTATTTATCTAATTATTTGATGACACTCTTGGCCCCTATTTGACCCGGAGCATTCTCCTCCTCTATATCTATTTGCCATAACATTTTTCACGAAGGGCAATTGGGTTAATACAGAATTAAACCAATAAAAAAAATGCCAAAATAAATCATTTGGATAATCAATTATATTAGTCCATACCCTAGGGGTACTTCTGTGTACATTGGGATGTCCATTAGATTTTATTACTGAATTCTATGTTTTCGAGGTCGCTGATTGCGAATATGATGATCGTTTGTGCGAAATCGTGGGCAGTCTCTCCGTTTATAACACTTTAATTGTTTAAAACGGAATATCGCAGAAACGGTTGGCTACAGGGGACAATATTTCAAACAAAAAATGTTCCTTATCAAAAATTCGACATATTTTGTTTTATAACATTTTCTCATAGCGGTCATCGTTGCAGACATATCGCGGATGCAAGTCCAGCGAGCGGCACGCTGGCACTATTGCAACGGTAAATTTTATAACAATGTAGTCTCAAACCCCTCCCCCTCTCCTCTCTAAATTTTCATCCCTCCGGATATATACGGGTGTCTTCAACCCCCCGGAGAAACCGCATACTCATGTATTTTCCCCGAAATTCATTGTTTAAACAATTATTAAAAAATCAGCGCATGTTTCCGGAGCGGTAAATTTCATAAAAATGTAATCTCAGACCCCTCCCCCTCACCGCCCCTAAATTTTTATCCCTCCGGATATATGCGTCTATTTTCCACAGATAAAAAAACCGAGCGGGTGAATAAATTAATTTATTTATTGAATTAATTAATTTTTTAATTAGAAAATCAATGCATAAACAGATAATTGTTTAGAAAATAAATTTCAATCGTTTTTTCAACATAATTTGAAATATATGTATTGTTCATATAGATTCTGTAACCCCCCCCCCCATCAACGGGTGAAAATCTCAACCCTCCGTATACATACCCATCCTTCCACTTTTCACAAAGTTCAAATTTTTTAGATTCGATTCTTTTATTTATCTAATTATTTGATGACCCTCTTGGCCCTTATTTGACTCGGAGCATTCTCCTCCTCTATATCTATTTGCCATAACATTTTTCACGGAGGGCAATTGGGTCGATACAGAATTAAACCAATAAAAAAATGCCAATATGAACCATTTGGCTAATCAATTTGAGAAACATATGATATTTGATGAACTGTTTTCTAAATTGTTTACTAGAGTGACACATAAAGGCTTTTATAATCAGTGTAGGAATTTCAAGGAAATCTTGACTAAAGTTGAAATATCTTCTGCGTCTGACGTATTCATTCTCCAATTACTGAATAATGAAAACAACATTCGAATTTCTTCAGTCCCGTCGAGTAAAATTCTTATCAATGGTAACACTTGTCAAGTTATGAGTGCAATTTTACATCATTCCTCTCACAAAAATGCATATAAATATATTAAGATGTTGAGATTTAATAGATCAGACTCGATTATGGTCAATGAGAATGAAATTAAAAAATCTCGATGGTCAACGGGTTCGCAAGATATATATATTTGGTACTTGGAGAAATACAATGACAAGAACATCAAGAAAACAATTGGACGCAAAAGAAAACAAAATAAGGCTTGAAATTATTCAAAATAAAAAAGAATACGCCATGTGTATGCGCAAAACGTGGAAGAGAGTATCCCAAAAATATGAATAAAGGAGTTGTTCGCACAAAAACATGAAAATTTTCGAAAAAATGGCAAAAATCTTTGAATCCTAATATGCAAAAAAATACGTAAAAGTAACTGAAATATAATGCGCAAAACGTAAAAAGAAAAATTCCAAAAATATAGGAAATAGTTGTTTGAACAAAACCATCAAAATTTCAAAAAACATGGACAAAATGCAAATCCTAGGGGAGGGTGGGGTTGTACCGCTCACCTAAGCAAAAATGCTGATTTTTATGTGTCAAACCTCAACTTACAGTGTAAAGGATTGTTCTAAAGTGTTCTCTAACTATCCAAGTCCCTAAGTAAAAAATACCAAGGTCTATCGCTCGATAGAATCCACGAAATTGAGAAAGAATGAAAGTGAACGCTGATTGAACGGTCCTACCCGCCTTCGGGTAATATCGCTCGGTACGAGTTCAATACCGCTCACTCGGCTGCCAATACCGCTCGGGTCCAGACCTAACCTGTAGTGGCCTGTAATCCACTACTGTCAAACAGCAGAAAAAACTCTTGTATGAAATGAGTTAATGAAATTTAGTTTACAGACTTGAAAAATAGAATCAGTAGCATAACTTGATAGTTTCGATGAAATAATTCATATGGACTTAATTGAATTCAAGAAAGAATTAGCTGCAAAGATTTCACCTGAACGTTTATTAATATTAGAAACCATTATAATCAAATTCTTAATCTTCCCTTTGACCCAACATTGTGCAATTATGCTTATTCAGACGTTTAAACTCAAACTGAACACTTAAATTTATCATAACACAGTATAAAGAACTTTTCAATACTCTTTTTTGGTTCAACATTATGCATTTATGCTTATTTAGACGCTTAAACCCCAACTGAACACTTAAATTTATTATAACACAGTATAAAGAACTTTGCTCTTGTTCTGGTGTAAATACTGTTGAACGACCCATTTGTGGTCCAGTCTTGACTCCATTCTTCATTCGTTCACGAAGAGTACTAAATAGGATGCCAGAAGTTTCCACAGCCTTGCGAATTGACATACCACCTTCAATTTTTTGCATCGCTGCAGTCAAATCCTCCTGTGTCCATTTTCCCTTTTTTTTTCAATGCCTCTGGTTTTTTTTACGTGACATCCTGGAAACATCAATCTAAATACAACGGTGGAAATCACTCACATAACCTCACTTTGAATTGGTTTG